GAACACCGAAGACAGCTCAGCAGAGGAAGTGATGCCTAACTTATCCACTCTTTCAATGTTATCCTAAAACGAGAGAAGAAAAATGTTGGAAGAGATCTACAAAATATTTACGATCTGATAATTTTCTGTAATTTGTACCTCCCACATATTCTGTAAATATTTTACTGTTCACAAAGATAGTTAATTTCAAATTATTCGTCAGCATTTAATAAATCCCAACAACTGCAACAAAGATGAAAAAAAAAAAAAATGTCTCGGCCGATGAGAAAACAAACATAGAATTGACTCACAGCAATCATACTGTGTCCAAAACGGAGGGCAGCCGTTGCAAATTCAGCACTAATGGCAGCACTCGTGTCAGGGCGATAAAAAACCTTTCGTTGCTTATTCTTCAAGGGTTTCAGCTTGAAGTCTTCTATGATTTCATTGCCTGAAATTATGAATGATGCATGTATTCCAGCAAGCAATTTAATTAGTATATCTGCATATTTTTATGTATATGTAGAGATAGGCCTACGATTACATTTACTTACTTTTCTATTAGCTAAAAGAGTGAATAAGTTGCATGTACTTTAATATAGGACTTACCGAAGATGGGCGGCAGATACTCGTTGTAGGTGACATGTTGGAGCTGAGCGACCACAATTCGGCGGGTCTCCTGGAACAGCTTTTCGTCATCCCAGGATGGGTTGATACTCTTCAGGCGAGACGCTAGATGGTTGTGGTGACGAACCCACACAGTGTGGAACAGAGTGAGCAGAACTTGCTCATTCACTCTCATATCACCTGTTGTATCATTATTATTAGTTTTGTTACAACGCTTGCGATAAAACCACATTATTACAAAGACACTAAGCTAAAAAAAAAAAAATACACTATTCATAAGTTTGTGAGGAAATCTAAATTGGAACAGAGAACAGAAAGGTCAACCTACCGGCCCGAAAGCAAAATTGGTCTATGCTGGCTTGTTCTTCCTGATTGCACTCGTTTGCTAAGTCTGTGTCTGCAGGAAGGAGTTCCTCACCTTCCTTACTTATCTGTGGGGAAAACTGATATATTTTCACAGCACCTAATTTTCATTAATAAAAATATCTTAGGGTTTGGCAGTTTGGTCCCTTGTAACTTTATACAAATTATGGCTGTCTGCTTATCGTACTTCTAAACTAGCCATGTGCAGGGAATGGCTGGGTTTACCATCCACTGGTTGTGCGGGAACTGAATGCAGGTCAGCAAGATCGCTAGATGAGAACAATTCCACAGCATCAAACAGGTCACAATAATGTCATATTTCTATTGTTTTTTTTTTTTTTTTGCTTTTTTTTTCTTGCTTTTTTTTATTCACGGCTTACGTTTTATTACCATGAAATTCAGTATTACAATCATCAGCTGAAGTAGTAAGTATAGTAATGTAAATTCCTCACCAATTTCAAGGTAATGTTTTTGCCTTCTTGTGTAGACCATGTTTTTCATACAGAACCCTTTGCAGACATTAAGTTCTTGAACAAAGATCTGGTCAATATCTTTACAAAATATTGATACCTTGCCAAGTCAGGTTTGCAGAATTTCTTCCATGTTTCTCTTTTAATAAGTGCAAAGGCCCCTTAGTAGATTAAAACCTCAGTGTTTTCAAATTTCCTGTTCTGCATCTTTACACACCTTTGGCGAAGTAAGTTCCCTGAGCATGTTTTATGAACTTGGAACATGTTCCTAATCCAAACTTCTTGTTTTATTTTACACTTTGTACAATATTCGATTTTACTCCATAAACCTTTACTCCATAAACTTCGTACCATCCACCACAGTGATGAAATGATCCTAACCTACTCTAAAACTACCACTGCTACTGTAAATATTGTCATATTAACCTGAGCAATAAGTAGACCATCCTCCCCCTTTCTCAATGAATTCATCATCTCGTCATCGGAGCCGTAGACCTGAGAGCCGTCGATATATGCTGTTTTCTCGTTTATTTGTTCTCGTGGACCTGAAGAAATTAAGTTATTTCATGGAATTTAGTTAACGTTGGGTTTTGAATGTTTCAGATTAATCATTAGTAAGCAAATTAGAATAAAGTAATGACTATTAAAAGTTTATTATAAAATCAGCAGGACAAGTCCACATTTTTTCTACAATGGACTCACCAAACAAGCAGCGTTCGGCGGGCGCCGAGCGGACGAAGTCCATGCACGTCTGGTCGAACTTGGAGTAGAAAGGGTCGTCAGCAGGGATGGAAATGGGGGCGCACTCAGGGTGGAGTATAGAACTGCCCTCAAGGCAACATGGAATCGCCTCACCATACTTACCTGGGCAATGAATAAGGCAAATAGATTCGTAAATCGAGAACATAAGATATATCTGTAAGTCCATGGCTAACAGATGAATTTAGATTTGTCCTTACATGTTTATTACTATTATTCCAGAGACAACTGAAATGATTTCAATCATTTTGGACAACTTTAAAAACCGACTCATAAAGGATTCATAAAGTGTTTCGTTATATATCAGTATCAAGTGGACCTTTATTCAAAGGCGCGAAGGTCAGGTCATGGTCGAAGAACTGCCCGTAGGTCATGTGGAGGACGGAGAGGAGAGAAGATTCCCTGTTTGGCCGAATGTTGTTAACCGCACTGCTGACGAGGCGGGCGCTGGGAAGGGGCTGCCCGTCCTGGGCAAGGCGGAGGCTCGACACTCCTGCAGTTGTGAAAAATATCATGTATGAAATATACATTCACTCATAAACATGTAGTATTGTAAGAAGATACACTATGCTCATACAAAAATACATGAACATGCCACTCAGGAAAGGCAGAATACAAGTGCTTTATGGAAGTGACATTGTCGCTTCAATACCAAGAATTGGAGACACTCACCATCACCATAGTCGGGCGGAGCAACACGGCGGAAAGGCCTGAAAGTGGATCCCCACAAGAGGGTTGTCCAAGTTATTACATATGCCGTTGGAGGACCTGTAGTGGCGGAAGGCCTCGCAGGAGGACGAAACCAGGTCCTGATCACAGAACTGGTCCTGGGCCAGCTGGTCCGATAGCATGATGTCGAAAGTTACGTCGTTTTTGTTTAGCTGGTGGCTGTAACAAGAGGTAGATATATTATTAATTGTGCCGAAAGTGAGAATTTATTTGTGCTTTTATGTAAAAAAAAAAAAAAAAAAATATTGAAGGATACATGTACTAGTCAATAATGGTACCAAATAAATTCAACTAGTTACAAAACCTAATTGGACAAAGATTGATGCCTAAAATGTATCAAAGACATGAAAAAAAATTGCAAAAGTTTCTTTATTGCGTGTATTACCGATCCATGACGAATTTAGTGGCGCAGTCTATCATGAAGCCTGTTCTTGCTGCTGCGATGGACCGCGGGTTAGGACTCCTGAATAGGGACTGATGGATGTAAGTAGATGAGTTATGAGAGACTCTCATGTTCTTGGCAGCCATGTCCTCCTCTATTTTATCCTTCTCCAGCAATTGTGAGAGTCCGTATTCAAAGCTTGATCTAGAAACAGTTTGAATGATAAAAGGAATGAAAATACTTTCCACTGTTATAAATATGGCTATTTGATACAGTAATCTTCAATTTGAAATGCTATCAGAGTTAGTGATCAAGTTATGAGAAAGAAATTGAAATACTCGAAAGTTCAAATTACCGAAATATACATCGGTCTCACACCTTTTATTCATCATAATTTTCACTGTACACGATGATTTACCTCAAACGAAAGATGATTCTTACGCGAGAAACTCGTATTCACCCCGATTTTCGTTATAATTTTTCTTTCTTTCTTTTTCCTTTTTATTTATCTATTCCTTTATTTTTTATTCATTAATTTATTCATTTTTTTACGGACGAATACAGGCATTATTCCTCATTCAACTTTATTCACTCCTTTTGTGTAGGTTGTGCGCGAAAGATGCACACTACTCCACGAAACCTTATAAATTACACACAAAATTTCCACTCACTTCTCTTCCTTCGAAACGTCGAGAACAGGGGGAGTTTCAATCGACTTCCAACTGTTTTTGCCTTGTATATTTGCTCCGGAACTCCCCTTTGGCGGCTTCTTGGAGTCTTTCCCTCGCATCACGTAGGAAATGTTATCTGAGAATAGTAATTGTGCTAATAAGAGCGTTGGTGATGATACTGGTGATGCTGATGAGAATAATGATGACAGTGACACATTTAATGATAATGAAAATGCCAATAATGATGGTTGTGATAACTCTAAAGATGATAATGAATATGCCAGTAATGATGGTTGTGATAATTCTAATAAGTATAATAAAAATATCAGTAATAATGATGTTAGTGATTTCAATTATGGTGATGAGAAGTAAAAGTCATTAGATGAGAGAAATGATAACAGTAGATGGGAAACCAGTATAAGAAATAAGTGAAATAATCTTGCAGTTTTCTTGGTATTATACTCTAAACATTTTATAGTTAACCCAATGCCGCTGGGGAAAATTAACAAAAAATGGGGAAAATGCTGTGCCCACTTTCTATGTTTTTCGTGAAATGTCTGCGATAGATGGCTCTGCTAGCGCCTGATTTGAAATGGCGGGAAAAACGTATTTTTCATTAGTGCTATGAAAATCAATGGTGTTATTTTTATCATAAACATTATATATTTTTTTTTTAATATTTTAACATTAGTAACAGCAAAAAAAGAAACGGGTAAACGGGCAAGACGGGCAGTACTCGTAGTTGGCTCATTGGGGAGTTAGTACAAGTGTTGCCATCTATGCGTGAAAACAATTTAACAAGTACTCACGGTGGGCATAGCATGTACGTACACGTCATACCCGGCACCAATGGGTCAAAGTCCCTATTCTTAAAACAACTGTAATGATTTTTCACAGGGCAGGTAGCATACAAACAAAAAATTATTCTTACCTTCAATCATTCCCAACTTGGGCTTCTCTGACCCTAGTGCAATGACTACCAACATTGCAAGGAACACACAAACCACCTTCATCTTCGTT